CCCACCCGCCCACCCAAATGAACTACTGCTCATCTCCTTCTCCCTCGTATTGCAGTTGCTCTGTTCTCCTTCCAGTACCCTCTGCTTAGTAATATAGACCTCTCTGACCGATATACGGCATTTTCACACCAGCACGCTTGCCGACGCATCTGCCGGTATTTGGGACCAGATCCAGTCAGAAAAGTCATACTGGAGGAGCATGCGTCTTCTGTGCACCTTTGACTGCCGAGTGGTCAAAGAAGAGAGGGGAAAGTTCCCAAGCGCCAAATCGCTGGTAGTTTTGACAGAGTTGAAATCTACGGTCTCTGTTCCCTCCTCCAAGCTCTCTCTCCCTTCCTCCTCCTCCTCCCCCCCCCGCTTTTACCCCCCCCCTTGCCTCTTCCTCCTTGCTACGGAACGTTTCTCCTCTACGTTCTCATCATGTCTTCTTGTCACTCGCTGATTTGATTGGCACATTCTGCTTCACAACAGCAGTCAGTTGGACACGTGGGTTTCCCACACACCATCTTGTCACTCACCTCTAATATCGTCAGTGACTGTTAAATGAGGCCGTCATCATGAAACGGGGTGCATTGCATTTGAACCACATCGTGTTTGCGAGAGAGATTAATAGCTCTTACTATTCATGTGACTGTACTTATTTTGTTAAAAGGTGTTCCTTTTTCCCGAAGTTCAAGGTTGATACCCGATAAAGCAAATTTAGGCTTTCGTTAGTGAGCTGTGGTTGTGGAGGTGCATTGCATTTGAACCACTTCGTGTTTGCAAGGAGTGCACCACTTGAGTGGCATGTTTCAGTCTAGATGCAGCTCAATGTATTGTATTGATATCTCGTACTATTTTTCGTTAGTTAGCCGTAGTTGTGGCAGCAGGTGCACTCCTGTCACTCCTGTCACTCCTGTCACTTTGTGTCATCAGTTCATTACCACTGCTTTCAGACTTGGAAGCTGTTGCTGGATGAGGCCATTTGTTGTTGTCACTTCCTCGACGATAATTGCTTAATAATAACATGATGACAATGAATTTGTTTTATTCCGATCGAAAAGGAAATTTGAAGAACCGGATTACTTTGTGCAGGGGAAGAGAACTTGTGTGCTGTCCACTCATCTATCTCTGTAACTAATGTGAACAATGACCAACTTCGATTTTCAGTTCGTTGGCTGTTTGCTGATGAGATCTTCAACTCTCAAGGGTGTGGACTCACAGCAGGGCGGGGCAAGGCAGGGCCGAGGGGGGGAAGTGAAGCGCGGTGGGGGGGGGGGGGGGGGGGGGGGGGGCGGGCCGATCCTGAATGCATTGACTGCAGTTACAGCTACCGGACACTCTTCCCCCCTTCCCCCCTTCCCCTCTTCCCGCCTTCCCCCCTTCCCCTCTTCCCCCCTTCCCCCCTTACGCTCATCAGACACCCCCTTACGCTCATCAGACACCCCCTTACGCTCATCAGACACCCCCTTACGCTCATCAGACAGCTGCTTAGCGTCGAGTAGTGGAGGGAGGCCCGTAGTCGGGTACTGCTATTTTGCCCATTTGCCCTCTCAACCGGCACAGAAGGACAAAAAAAGGAAACGAAAAATATGTAGTAGTGGAGCTTTCCATGTTCTGGCTGAAGACTCTTTTTTTTTTTTTTTTTTTTTTGGCCCGTTGGTTGAGTGGTGGAGGGAGGCCCGTATAGAGTGCATTGTGTCTGATGAGTGTCAGGACTCAGGAGGGAAAGAGAGAAGAGTGTGTACTATTTGTCATAGTTTCGTTTCAGATGGATATCTGGGCCAAATGATGAAGGAAAGTCGTTGTTCTATGCTCTCAAAGATGGGTTTGTTCCCCCTCCTCCTCCCTTCTTCCAAAACCTCGGGTTGGGAAAACAATGAAATTGTGCACCCTTTCTTAAAGTTTCTTGCGTTTCAGTTATGATGAAGTATGTAGTGTGCACAGTCAGCCAGGCGGGCAGATTAAGCAATCCAATTAACCAGATTAATGAATCGTAACAAGTCCAGTTCAATCAATCAATCGGAGTCAATCCACGGCATGAATTGATCGGACCAATCAGTCTAATCGAGTTAATTAGACCAATCAATCGAATTGAATCAATTAACCAAGTGGATCATTATTTGAGGTGAGTCGATCATTCAAGTCGATCAGTGGAATTAATCAATTGAATCTGAATCAGTCAAATTAATCAATGTAATGATTGTTCTCAGTCAAATTAAGCAGTCAATGGAATCACTCATCGACACAATCAGTGGAGACAATCAAGCGGACCAGTCACATTGAAATCGAATGACTTCATTAGATCGATCAGTTTTCCATACCTTCTTCCCCCGATTACAACGTACTGTCATTATAGCTGTATGTGAGGCATACTGTCATTATAGCTGTATGTGAGGCATGTTTCAGTCTAGATACGGCTATAATGATCGTACGACGTACGTTGTATTCGGTGGAAGAAGGTAGTAATGATAATCGTTGGCTGGTGATTGAAACCTGTACATGTGTTTTGCCACAACAGGTTCTGGAAGTCAGAGCAACAATATTGGGGAGGGTTGTGGCGGTTTGATCACACAGCGGTTGAGCCTATCGAGTGTGAATGGAAATGGGTTTGTCAGCGCCGCTGTAAGCATGGCAGCCAAGGGGGGTGCCCAACATATAACCAGGTGGAAAGGGAGTGGCTTTGAGCACACCAGTCGCCGTTGTTGTGGAATTGCACCGCCCTTTTCATCGTGGTGGGGGGATAAAAGCACGCTTCGGGAGCAGAGAATTATTGGGAGGTCATTGAGTTGGGGATTCCGAGGACAAGCAGGATGGAGAACGAACACCAGCATTATGAGCGGTTTGATATGGAGAACGACTATGAGGGGGGCACCTGGGTAGGTGGGGAGTATTACTACAGGAAGAAGAAGGCAAAGCGCAAACAGACGAAGGAAGATGTGCTGTTTGGCATCTTCAACGAGTCCGATTCCGATGACGAAGAAGAAGCTGGGATGGGAGGCAAGAGGAGGAGGCACGACGGCGGAATGTTGAAGAAGGCAGACCTGACCAAGCCTGTAAATTTCGTTTCTACAGGGACTGTTTTGCCCTCGGAGGAGCTCGAAGAAGGCAGGAAACGGCACGGTGAGGATGATAGAGATCGAGAAGAAGATGGCCGGGAGAGAAGAGAGGAAGAAGAAGAGAGTGGGATGGGGTCACTTATGGGGGCGTCGGGGCATGCTGGGCTGGGGTTTTCGGAACGGGGTGACAGTGGTGCGGAGGGCAGAGAGCGGGCGCAAGGATCCAGGAGGGAAGGTGGAAGGGAATCGAGCAGGCGCAGAGGCGGTGATGACGATGACGATGAGGACGACGACATCCTGCCAACTGCGTTTGGGCAGAGGGTCAAGGAAGGGGCGGAGAGGAGGAGGAAGAAAGATGCAAAAGCGCCGCTTGCCAAGTCGAAGGCGCAGGTTGGGGAGGAGTTTGCTTCTTTCGAGAAACATACGAAAGGGATTGGGATGAGATTACTCGAAAAGATGGGATATTCTGGTGGTGGTCTTGGAAAGAACGCACAGGGAATAGCGAAGCCCATAGAGACGAAGATGCGACCAAAGAACATGGGCATGGGGTTTAACAACTACAGGGAGAGGGATTCCAGTCTGCCTGCTGCTCCAGGCAGCAGTGAGGCAGCTGAAAAACAGGAGGATGGAGGCAAGGGGGGCGACAAGGCAAAGACCAAAGAGAGGCTTTGGAAGAAGAAACATGCCGCAAAGAAGCGGGTGTACAAGACAGCTCAGCAGTTGATAGGAGAGACGGAAGAGAAGGAGGCAGCAGGTTACGCGGTCCCGGAAAGCCGTGGACAAACGGTCCTTGACATGCGTGGGCCACAGGTAAGACTTGTGACTAATCTCGAGCATCTGAACGATGAGGTGAAGGCCATCGAGGATGACGTACCCATGCCTGAACTGCAGCACAATCTGCGGCTGATTGTGGATCTGGCGGAATCGGAGATATACAATCACGACCGGAAAATTCGCCAGGAAAGGGACAATGCGGCGGTTCTAGAGAGGGAAAGAGAAAGGCTCTTGGAGGAGGCTGAGGGTCGTAGGTTGCAAGTGGAGACTCTGGAGGGCATTTTGGCATCGGTTGACCGGTGTTATCAGAGGGTGCAGTCGGGAGCGGACGCGCTGGATTCCATTGCAGAGATCTTCGCTTCAATCCAGGAGAAATTCCCCGAAGAGTACAAGATGTACGACATTCCTTCCGCCGCTTTGGCGTGTGCCGCACCCGAGATCAAACATCTCTTGCAAAGCTGGAGCCCCTTACAGACGCCCGAGTATGGGGTTGCCACGGTGTTGACGTGGCGTGCATTGCTAGCTTGTCGGATGGAGGATCAGCCCATCTTCTCAGACCCGTCTGATATGCAGGCAGACCGTGACCCTTACAGTCTGCTGGTCCAGGAAGCTGTTCTCCCAGGTGTGAGGAGAGAGGTGACGAATCTCTGGGAACCACGTGATCCTGAGCCGATGCTCCGGTTCATCGAGCTTTGGGAGGACGCACTGCCTACATCCGTAAGAGAAAACATTCTTAATACCTTGGTTATGCCTAAGTTAACCGCCGCCGTCGATTCCTGGAATCCCAGGCTCGAGACTGTTGCGATCGACAAGTGGTTGCATCCTTGGCTTCCTATACTCGGGTCGCGTATGGAGCCCTTGTATCAACCTATCCGCTTCAAGCTGGAAGCTGCTTTACGGGACTGGCATCCCAGTGACAAGTCGGCTTTGATGCTTATTTCGCCGTGGCGGGATGTGTTCGATCCAAACGGATGGGACCATCTGATGGCGTGTTCGATCGTGCCAAAGCTGTACGAGGCCCTCCGGGACTTCGTCGTCAATCCTCCCCCTCATCCTCAGGAGTCGGAGCCCTTCATTTGGGTCGTGCGCTGGGCGAGCACAGTCCCAGCACAGCACATGACCACATTGCTGGAGGCTTATTTTTTCCGAAAATGGCAGCAGGCTTTGTACTATTGGTTGTGTTCGAACCCGAATTTCGACGAGGTGACGAAGTGGTACCTTGACTGGAAAGGGCTCATGCCGGAAGAGCTGTTGGCAAACGAGCGAGTGCAGCATCAGCTGAACATTGCCCTCGACATGATGAACCAGGCCGTGGAAGGGGCGGTGGTTACACAGCCGGGTGTACGGGAGAATGTTAGCTACCTCCTAATGACCGAGCAACGGAGCTTCGAGTCCGCGGCGGCTTCTGCGCAAGCACAGCAGGCTCATCCCTCTTCAGGACAGGGCTATGTACACGTGCAGCAGGGGGCGGGGCCATCTGTGGCAGCGCCGACGTCAAGGGTGCCTCAGAATCCCATGACGGGGGGTATAGGGACAGGTTCAAGGGTAGGCGTGGGAATGGATAACGGGTATTCCAATGCGAGCAGCAGTGGCGTAGGGGGGCAAGGATCTCAGACTGCGCTGAGCTTGAAGGAGATGGTGGAAATGTTTGCTCTAGAAAATGATGTACAGTTTGTGCCAAAGCTAGGTAGGATGCATGAGGGTCTCCAGGTTTATTCGTTTGGACTCGTTAGTGTCTGTGTCGACAACTCTAAGCAGTTGGTTTATGCACAGATTGGTGACAGATGGGCTCCTGTTTCTCTTGGGCAGGTCCTGGAAATGCATAGGGGGCGATTGGCGGCTGGGGTAGGAAGCTCTGCTCCCAAAAGCTTTGGATAAAGAGAGAGAGGAAAAAAAGAAATCTGCTGAAGCTTTTTTTGTTTTGTTTTGTCTGTTTGATGAACCTCCT